AAAGGAATTAGCTTATAAAATTATTTAATAATGCTAATAGTAAAATATTCTTATAATATTATTTAATAACACTAATAGTAACATATTATTTTAAAAAATGTCATCTGCTACTAAACAATTACGATTACCCCCTATGCCTCGAATATCTGATCTGATGCGCTTATATGGGCTGCGTGCTAAAAAGCAGCTAAGTCAAAATTTTATATTGGATTTAAATGTTACAGGTAACACTTTTTTTAACATTACATTTATATGCATTTTGAATGTATATAAAATATGTTGTGTATTTTGTATGTGTAATTTAGATATAAATCCTTTTTAGTTTTTTTTGTTTTGTTTTGTTTTGTTTTTTTTACTGGATTTGCCTTCCCAAGTTTGAGGGGGCCACTACAATTAAGAAGTTTTTTTTTATTAATTTTTTCAACCTTCTCCAAACCCTATAGTTTTGAAAAATGAATGTGTTCACCAAGATCTTGGCAGGAATCAAACTTTTCAATCACATTTCTTTCTTTACTCATAGAGAATCAAACTTTTCAATCACATTTCTTCCTGTACTGGTAGCACTAGGTTTGCAAGCATGTAGTAAAGCACTTGCTTACAACACAACCAGTCTACCACTACGCCACTACTTCATTAATATTATACCCTAATACTTGTTATATCTATAGGGCATATTATATCAAATTGTTTCTCCATGCAGCAATTTTTTTTTTTATCAATGGTTACATTTTCATATCAAAGGGTTAAAAGAGTAACAACAGCATTTTTTAAAAAAAACTTTGTTGACTGTAGAAAAAGTGAATAAAATATATACTATATACTCTTATAATTTCCTTAGTTATATAACCAGCAGGGTTAAGTTGTGTTAATAAAAGAGTAGTTAAGCCATGAAATGTGACTGATGACATCATACTGAAATAGGTATGTGAAATGTTAGCCTAATTGCTGTTTGGTTATAATTAAGATTTGGGCAGGCAGTATTTAAAAAGTCAATGTTTTCTCTCTACTTTTTTATGAAATTCTTTACTTTTTTATTGATTAAATTAAAAAAATAGAATTAAAAATAGAATTAAAAACAAAAGAGTTTAAGTTATTTAATCTTTACAAATTTTTAAATTAAAAAAAAGAAGAAAATATTATTCTATGACAATAAAAAAGAAAATTTTTTATTGTCATAGAATAATATTTACTTATATTTATATATTTTATGTTATAAAAGTTCTAATATAAAGAGCTTTCACAATATTATACAATTGGTGTACAAAATATTTTATAATTGTTTTTAAATGAAATTTAAACCTGTTACAAAAATTCATGTTTAAAGTAGCTTTTTTTAAAAAACAGCATTTCATGTGTTTTTTAAAGGAATTAGTAGGGTATAAGTGTTCTTCAGATGTTTCCCAGCAGCATGACTTTTCATGAATGGCTTGATTATTTTTTTATAATACAGATAAAATTGCACGTAAAGCTGATGTTTTCGATTGCAATGTAATCGAAGTTGGTTCTGGTCCAGGCTCTTTATCACGTTCACTTTTAAATGCTGGTTTACGACACTTATATGCTGTTGAGATTGATAAGAGATTTTTACCATCACTTGAGGTAATTAATTATAAATTATAAAAGTTATGTAATTAAAAATGAAAGAATGAAACTTACTTTTTTGTGATCTGACTCATGTAGATACATTTTTGTTCCAATTTTGGGATTGTTCAGATTCGTTTTCATTACATTTTAACGAACATCCTGAAATATCAGGACGTTCGTTAAAATTTCATGTCAGTACTTTTAATAAAATATGTATATATGTGTTCCGACAGATAGAATTTAACATTTTGTTTCAGCTCCTTCAAGATGCATCTGATGGTCACATGTCTATATATCATGCTGATATTTTGAAGTTTGATATGGTAAAGCCTCTAAAAAATGTTATTTCGGCTGAATGGGAAAGCGATGGTATAATTAAGATGTTCTAAAGATAAAACGATTACCATATTGGTGTTATTAAAGATTCAACTGTTGTGTTATATTGGTGTTATTAATAATTCAAATGTTTTTTGTTTTTTTTTTAGATTTGCCTAATATAAGACTTGTAGGTAACCTTCCATTTTCTGTTTCTATTCCTTTGTTTTTGCAATGGCTAGAAGCTTTGTCAACTCGTTCTGGTGTGTTTTCTTTCGGAAGAATACCTATGACTCTTGTCTTTCAAAAAGAAGTTGGTCAGGTAACTTTATAATTAATATAACAGTTTTAAATTTATCACTTAGTTTTATAATCAAAGCAAAATAATTTTATAATCAACAACAACTAATACTAGCTGGTAGTTGTAGTAGTAGCAGCTATAGTAGTGGTAGTAGTAGTAGTAGTAGTAGTAGTAGTAGTAGTAGTAGTAGTAGTAGTAGTAGTAGTAGTAGTAGTAGTAGTAGTAGTAGCAGCAGCAGCAGCAGCAGCAGCTGCTGCTGCTGCTGTAATAGTAGTTCTGCTGCTGATAGTAACAGTAGTAATAGCAATAGTAGTATTTCAAGTTCTCATTCTAATTGTCAGTAATAACGGTATGTTTATATTATGAAGTAACAAACTATTTATTCTTGTAATGTGATGTGATGTCACATCACAAGACATTTATTCTTGTAATGTGATGTGATGTCACCAGTGACATCACATCACATTACAAGAATAAATGTCTTGTGATGTGATGTCACCAGTGTTCCAAAAAATTATTTTTCGCTAAGTTATCTTATTTTCTATATAGATAAAAATCTTATTATTTTTTTTAGAACATGGTTGCAGAGGCTCTTAATTATGATCGATCTAGGCTTGCTATAATGGCACAAAATTATTGTCATGTAAGTCGAGCCATGGAAATCAGCAGCTCAGTGTTTGTTCCAGAACCTAAGGTATTTATAGTGATAATTAAATTTTTATTTTTGTAATTACATGCTGCAGATTTTTTCTTTGGTAGAATACAAGAAGAATGTTATAAGTTTATAAAAGTACTTTTGAAATTATTATTAAAGATAAATTAAAAAATATCTATTCTATTTATAAAAAGTGTATTATTTATTAAATAAGTCATGGAGTGTTCTTTATTCTTCATACTTTGGTCATTATACAAAAATAAAATAAACTTTTTATTTTGTCTGATTTAAACTTAATTTGTAATTAAATATATATTAAACAACAGTTTGTTTCAACAAGAAAACTAGTATAATTTTTATTTTTAATGTTTTACCAGGTTGATGCATGGTTGATGCACTTCATCCCACTAAAAAAACCTGCAATTGATGCACCTTTCAATGTCGTGGAGCAGGTTGTTAAGGCCATATTTTCAAAAAGAAGAAAAATTATTAAAACTCCTTTGAGGTAAAATTTTCTTTTAAGAATTTTAGAAGAGATTTTTTATAAGAAAAAAAAAGATTTTTTCACAATAGCTAAGTTTTCAAAAAAATCAAAATTCGGTAGAAACTTCAAATTAACAAATAACAGCTTATAGATAACAGTTATATATTTATATATTAATTAGATTAGTTATATATATTTATATATTAGTTAATATATATTTATATATTAATTAGATAACAGTATATATTAATTAGATTAGTTATATATTTATATATTAATTAGATAACAGTAAAAAATCAAAATTCGGTAGAAACTTCAAATTAACAAATAACAGCTTATAGATAACAGTTATATATTTATATATTAATTAGATTAGTTATATATATTTATATATTAGTTAATATATATTTATATATTAATTAGATAACAGTTATATACTAATTAGATTAGTTATATATTTATATATTAATTAATATATATTTATATATTAATTAGATAACAGTTAACGGTTGGTTACCAAAAATCCGGACAAACTTTCAAGTGCAATTACTCCCAAAGTTTTTATGGTAGAGATTAAATAAAACTATCATTAAAAAGAGTTTTTAGTTATTTATTTATTTTAATTAAGTTTGTCTTCAACCAGTCTGTTTCTTCGGATTCGGCCAACTCTAACACGAGTTGACCCAAAAAGTGAAAATACAAGGTTAAGGTCAATTTTTTTCAGGCAAAGCTTTATTCTGGTTCGTAGTTGTTTCACGTCTTTTGCTTGCCAGTTACTCTCATACACTTTGCCTTTCAAAATAGCCCAAAAGTCTTCGATTGGGCGACACTCCGGTACGGCTGGCGGATTGTCAACTTTTTTGATAAAATTGATGTTATGAGTCTCGTAGCAGCTGGTCACGGTTTTGGCATAATGCGATGAAGCCAGGTCCGGCCAAAATATGTAATTACCATCGGCATGATAAGCGTTGATGAACGGCACATACAATTCATAATACAATTCATTTCATAGATGGCTTTATTGACTGCAAGGCCGCTGGGTATAAAAAATGATTTTAAAATACCTTTGTCAGAAGCGGCCAGCCAGACAAGCACCTTGGGTTCGAACTTGCGCTTTTTGCGATATTTAACACTTGGTGGAGTCTTGTCTCTATTGCAAGAGTAGTAGGTGCTGTTTCCATTAATTGTTGAGTGTGACAGCGTGAAGTAAGACTCATCGTCAAGGATGACCGATTTTCCTTTAAAAACGCGATCAATGACGATCAATAAAGACGATCAATGCCAGTTTTGATTCGCTCATTCTGGTTCTCTTGTCGATGAGGTATACCCTGTTTTGTATAACTTTTGATGTCAGTGTACTTGGCAAGAGTTTTAATGACATGTGAATGACTGCATCCAAATTTTCGACCAGCTTGCCTCATCGAAACTCGGTCACTGTGATCAAATATGGCTTTCAGGCGCTTGATCCTCTTAGGGGTCATGATTATGGCCACACGACCACTTGCACTCTTTTGTGCCCAGAATCATTCTCAACACGTTTGATTATATCATAGATAGTGCTTCTTGGGATTTTTTCAGCATTGAAGTGAGCTACTGTGAACTTTTTAGCTTGCAATTTATTATTCAAATAGAACTCGTAAATCCGTTTTCTTACCTCTTCTTGCTTGGTCATCATTATTTTTCTAATTATTATTAATTATCTAAAAAAAAAAAAAATTAACTTATAGAGAATTAAATAAGCTATAAAATGGATATAAACATGAATAAAAAAGATTTAGCTTTTAAAATTCAGTTAAAGTTTGTCCGGATTTTTAGTAACCACCCGTTATATTTTAATTAGATTAGTTATATATTTTTATATTAATTAATATATATTTATATATTAATTAGAGTTAGCCTAATATATATTTTATTACACTTAACAGTAACAATATTGTTATATATTTTTTATATATTATGCTTATGACTGTCCTATATCCAGAGTATATATAATTTTTGATGTTATAAAAAAGATTATTTCGTTGAATTTTTATCCAGTGATAAGTTGTTTACCGTTTCAATTTTTATATTTTTTGTTTTCGGATTTTGAGCTACGTAGGGCGACGAAATGAAATTTTTTTGATTTTACCGCTTAATAAAGTTTTAAATGTTTTATATTATAGTATTTACCCCGTGTTTGATGAAAAAAAAGATCCTTGTTAAGTTTTAATTTTAGACTTTCAATATTTTGTTAACATTCTCTCCATTTTTATATATCACCTATGAAATTTTTTTGTTTTAGCTCACAAATCTATATGTAAATCATAAACGTAAAATATTGCGTTTTTTTCGGTATTGCGTGCATGCAGTTGCTTTTTTGTTACAAATCGAACGAGATGACATTTTCGAGAATACGTACTTTTTTGTTATTTTAAGTAGGTTTTTAAGTTATATTTAATATTTTAATATAATAAAAACTTAGATATGTAATGGTAAATGTTTCGGTATTAAAACATTAAAAATCTGCATACTCGCTTCTCTATTGTTTTACGATTCACATTAATGTAAACTGCTTTTTCAGTATAGGTATACGTACGCTCACTAGTTATGTATAAGTATAACGGTAACAATTGGTGCGCACACAAATCGTAAACGGTATTGGTCCGGAGACTAAATACTATACGGTATAAACAAACTAGATAGTGTTAGGTTTATGTATACAGACTAAACGTGTTTGGTTTATGTGTACAGGCTAAACGTGTTTAGTTTATATGTACAGGCTTAACGGTAGAGATAAGCAATATGCAAACAATATACGTGCAAAAACTAAATATTATGTAAGTTGTAAATTTTTAAAATGATCACAAATAACATACGGATTCAAAAAACAAAAGCCATTAAAACAAAGACAAAACGTCGGTTCTCGTAATTTATTTTCGTCTGTTCTCGTAACTTTTCCTGTCGTGAATTAAAATTTATTTTAAGCATTTCCAATTGATGACAAATTGATTTTGAAAGGTTTAATAAAAAAAAAATGTTTTTTTGTTGTTTTTTTTTTAAAAACGAAACAACAAAATCATAGGTTATCAAATAGGAATAACTTTTTTTTTCAGATTTTCATTTAACTATAAAAGTAACAAAAGAAATAGTAGTAACAAGAACCGACTCACAAACCGGTTTAGATTGACAACTTTAAACACTGACAAAGTAACAAAAAAACAAATTATTGACATAGCTCCAATTTTAAACGCTGACAAAGTAACAAGAACCAACGCACCGACATTGCTCCGATCGATCATTTTAAACTCTGACAAAGTAACAAGAATCAACTCACCGACATTGCTCCGATTGACAATTTTAAACACCGACAAACTAACAAAAGCCGACTCACCAACACTGCTCCGATTGACAATTTTAAAACACTGACAGAGTATCAAGAAGTTTTTATTACAGAATAAAAAACGGAATTAGTTTGTATACTTAGAGAAGTGTTTTTTAATAGGTTTTTTAATTAGTTTTATGTTCTTGTATACATACAATATATAAAAAAGAGGCCGGGTGAATAAAAATTAGCAATTGCTTTTATTTAGTAATTGGTCAGCTTTACGTAAATAAAAACTTTTGCAATTTTGCTCGGATTTTTATTCGCGTAAAGTTAAGCGATTTACTCAGTAATTGTTCAGCTTTACGTGAATAAAAACTTAAACAAAATTGGTAAAGTTTTTATACACGTAAAGCTGACTAATTACTGAGTAAAAGCATTGCTCGTTTTTATTCACCCGGCCTAAGATTTCTTTTTTTTTTAAAAACAATGTAATTTACACAAAGAAATTTTTGTAGAATGCATTTGTTTTGTTTACACGCGCGCGCACATGTCTATTAGCTTTTTATTTTGTAATTGGCATTCTTTGTACCTTTATTTTTTTAAACACCAATACCAAATATACTTTTATTCAACGCGGAACCCCATATGATTAAAAATAAATAATTGCGCGGTACTTACAGACAAATGGCGAATATTAACTAACAAGGAAGGGATAGCCACAATGAAGTTTATATGTTTTATTAGTTGGTATGGCTCGTCTCTAGAATATCTTTTTTCTATATGGGTAGGAACCAACGAAGGTTTGTCGGAAAAAGATTTAAATTACCTGCCTTCACCGGCTTACACCGGTCATCTAGGGCCCTGTGTAAGTCTGGTTTCAGCCGCAGCTTTCTCTAGTTGGTTAAAAAAAAAAAGTATTTAAATTATAAATTCACAATACAGGGATTTTTAAGTGTATTACTCGAAGGATACCAACAAGGTTTTGTTTTTTTTCCATCTAAGTTTTTGGTTTGTAAGTGCAACTTTAAATTATTTTTTTTAATTTTTTTTCAGACGTTTATTTCCAGAAAACGAGCGTCTCGCTGATGAATTGCTTGATCGTATAAAACTCGATACTAATTTAAGACCGCATCAATTAGAGTTACATGACTTTAACTTAATCACCAAAGAATTTATGAAGATTTGTAACGAAAACGACTATTCTCTTACTCCGTTGCCTGTCAACAAACCTGATAAGATAGTTAACGAATAAAATTCACGTAATGCAAAACAGAATTTAAAAATGTAACTGAAACAAAATGGTAATCCTCAAGATTTAAGGCAATATTTTGAAACCACTTCTATTTTAGATATTGAAAAGATTTTCATTTGTGTTTAAAATCTACTATAGAGTTTGTTTGAATAGTTTCTCGATGAAAGGCTAAAAATCGATGAAAGGCTACATTTCTTGAGTTGTTTGATTGAATACTCGAACAAGTTTTGACGGTGTAACTCGATAAGAGTTGCAATAAATTACTATAATTAATTTTTATAAATAAATTAATTTAAAATATGAGTTATTATTTTAAAAAATCAGAAAGCTTTGTTTTCATATAACACTAATCTAAGTTGACGTTTCCTAAGTCTTCGAAGATTCCGAAATTTAAACCGTCTTTCGAGTATCTTTATTTGGCTAATCGGATATTAAACAAAACTTTTTTTATAATTGCTTGAATGAAGACCATGCCGAAAACTGTAAACACGTTTATGTATGATATGAAAACTTAGCTCCCATTCTTTTTCAACTTAATTTCCTTAATCCTTGCATTATGGGGGAAACGCGAAAGTTTAACAAAGTTTAAATTTATTATTTGCAAAATGTAATAAAAATGTTTTTAACTATGGAAACCAAGTTTAATATCTTTTTAAATTTTATTCCGATTGGGATGTTCACGGAAAAAAATCATAATTCCATACTATATTTTCGGGTTGCTTAGCTACGTGCTAGTGGCTACTGTTCAAATATATCCTTTGCACATTATTCTAAGATACAAAGCAACTTTATCCAGTTTAAAAAAATATTCAGTCGATTTATTTTATCGGTCACAAAAATTGAACGCATGATAAAACAGTGGGAAAGCAAGAAAACACAGCTGAACAAATTATTAGTTTTCAATCTTCCCATTGTTTGCAGTACTAAATCCCGAAGAAGGATTGGTTTGCCATACATTTTTTAAAATAAGATAGATTGAGGTAAATACATGCTACTTTATCTCGTTACCTGGATTCTAAGGAACAACGAACGCTTTAAATTTGACGAGGTTATCTTTTTTTTTTTTTTCTTGTATTTTTAATAATTTTTTTTTTTTTTATGTTTAAAACCACAGAATTCCGATACTTACAATATAATTCGCTCCTACATGTAGTTGCCACCATAAATATGCATTGATGCGTGAGCCTTGTGAATAATGTTTTGTCAGGTGTTAGCTTTCACGCTCAGTTGATCTTTTATCTCCCATGCTCCGTTGATACCCAATAGGATTTTAACTAATAAGGGGGGTTAATTTAAAGCTATCTTTGAAAATAGGGGGTTAACTAAAAGTTTTTGAAAGAAAAAAAAAACATGTAAAAACTTAAAGTATGATTTGTTTTGAAAATTTATTTTTAACTTTTTAATATTCTTCTCATGAATAAACTCGAAAAATCGCATTCGGAAAAAAAATTCACTTTTTTTTTTTACAAAGTAAAATTTTACTAAAAAATACCTCAGTTAGAACTTATGGATTAACACCCCGAATCCACGGTTGTGGTTTTTTTTTTTTAGTAAAGCACCTTCAGTTTACTTATCCAGTTAGGATTTCAATGGAAAATAATTTTAAAATAGGCTTTATACAAAATGAATCTTCACGAAAAAGATATCCAATCGAAATCATGGGCAAACATCCTTAAAGACATCGAGGTGATAGAAGTTTTAAACACCCGAGTTGTTACGGAAAAAGAGGTTTGTAAATGTTCGTGGCAATTAGATACTGCTTTGTTTGCATAAGCTCAGCGTTTTAATTTTTGAATATTTATTTTGGTAGACTTAGATCTAAGTTTTTTTTGCGATATTTAAAATCGTATTATTAAACTGCAATAATTACTTACAATATTTAAATTGACTTATAAAATAATTATTATGATAGCGACTTAAAATTTTTTCAAAATTAAAAAAAAAAAATTTCAATTTATTTGTTTAATGGTTTGTTTATCTTTTTTAGTATTTTTTTTTTTTTATTTGCGTTACTTTTTTAAATAATGTGTTTTTTATTTGTTTAGGAAAGTTCACGTTGTTATTTAATTTCCTTTACAAGCTGGGTTGACGAAGTTGATCTTTTTTTTCAAAAAAATCTTATAGAAGAATATTGGAAACGAAAGGTATATATATATACATATATATATATATATATATATATATATATATATATATATATATATATATATATATATATATATATATATATATATATATATATATATATACATATATATATATATAAATTTATATTTTAGTAGGTAACAAAGCTATATATCAAAAATACAGGTGCAATTTAAAAAAAATAACTATATGGTATTGGTAATCGAGTATCTTCCTCTACCTTAACATTTAAATATCAAAATCATAACGTAAAATATCTTTTAAATTTTCGAACTTTTCTTTGTTGAGAAGAAAAATAACAGATCCATAGACATTTTTAATGTTTTTGATATGATATTTTCCAAAATTGTGCAAACTTCAAACTTAAGTATGTCCATGCTTATGTCAGATGAGAGTGTTTTGGAAATATTTGGGGTGGTTGGAGCATAGGAACAAAAATATCCCAAAAAGTGTGCACCCCTCACTTCAAATGCAATAAGTTAATAAATTATAATTTTTTAACACATTAAAACTAAATTTAAATTCATCAAAAAGTTTTTATTTTCATTAAATAATCTTTTTTAGCGTTCAAAAGTTTTGACGATTGGAAATTTACAACCCCCTCTTTATGGGGCGGGTGGAAACTTTACATGGTCATAACTTTTAATAAATAATATATTAAAATAATGATATTATTTTTATATAATTAAGAAATACTTATAAATTACTTATATATATATATATATATATATAATATATATATATATATATATATATATATATATATATATATATATATATATATATATATATATATATATATATATATATATATATATATATATATATATATATATTGTTTTCATTTATATCAGGATTTAATTGATGGTAAGATCGATTCCACTATTAAAAAAGGAGTTGAGGATAGAACAGACAACTTAATTAAAAACGAAAGTGATGATTTTTCACAAAATGAAGAAAGTAGTTTTGAATGTGAATATAAAAAAAGTTTTGAAAGTATATCAATTGAAGAAAGTACATCAATAGAGGTATCAAGTACAGCGTCTTCTTCTGTTGAAGAACTAAGCGCGGAAAAAATTTCGTGCGATGAACCGCGTGACCAAGTACGATCGTGTAAAAGACGCAAAAATAAAACTCTTGATGATATTGTTCGACAAATTTCCGCACTAAGTGATCAACCATCTGAAAAACGACATCCAAGTTTGCTCAATGAGCGATTGCAAACCCTTGATAAAACCTTATCTCCAGAAACTTTAAAAGATCTTGAAAGTGAATCTCCGCGCGCTACAAGCGAAGCTGTTAGAGAAAGTTGTAAGAATTAAAGATTAAAAAATATGTAGAAGATTTTACTCCAACTTGTTTAATGCTATTTTACTTAAAAAATTTTTAATAATTTTACATTTTTTTATCATCTCCTTTTAGATGGTGAACATCAGGTAGTGAACACTTACTGGTCGGCTGGAAAAGCATTTCAAAAGCATCGTTTTCAATGTCAACATTGCGATATGTTTTTTGAGAATGAAGAGTATCTTACAGAACATAATTTAACACATGAGAGTTCCAAAAACTCTACACATCATTGTCACATTTGTAAAAATTCTTTCAGAAACGAAAATAGCCTAGAAGAGCACATGGCGACAAATCATATTTACCAACAAAATGCTCTTAAATGTCGTTATTGCTCACGATTATATACTCATTCAGAAAAGTTAGAGCTGCACGAGAGGCAACATTTTTCTAGTGATGTTTCTACTGTACCGCCTCCGTTGATGCCGCTTGATGACGATTCAGTTGAATACACAAAGTCCTTTAGAAAGTATATAAATGAATCTACTGATTTGGGGTTTACACCGGCGAGTATAGGTACTACTTCAACAAACCTTGAATCAGTTTCCTCAACAATAACAACTACTGCATTAAGTACTGCATGTACTTTATTAAACATGTCATCAAATACATCATCAGCTCTATTGAATGTATCATCAACATCAAATGCAGCATCTAGTTTAACAAATAGAGGTAAAATATATATTTTTTTTGGTTTAATTGTGTAACCTATGTTTGTTTTTACATTATTAACAATTATTTTTTTTATTTTAGTGTCTTTAGGTAAGCTGGGGGAAATAGAGAAATATTCTCAGTGTTTTTCAAATCAACTTGCACATAACAGTGAAGATGTAATTAATTTAAGGTTTGATAAAACAAGCTCTATGCATGGAAAAAAAGACAACGAAACAATAAAATTGGAAGAACCTATGGAGGAAGATCGATCATCACCAGTATATATGAAACAAGAAAGATCAGAAATTAAAAAAATTAACAAACCTCTTAATTCGCACGAGGTCCACAACTGTCCAGTTTGTAGAAAATCTTTTTCACTCAAAGAAAACATGGAGTATCACTGGCAAGAAGAACATGGTCATAAGTATCATTTTACTTGTGAGGTATGTGAGAAAACATTTATGAACGAACTCGAATTTGATTCTCACATTTCAACTCATGGCAAAAATGAATTCTTTTGCGGTATTTGTAACAAAAACTTTGATCGTCGATCAACTTATGAAACTCACCAAAGAACACACACAGTGGAAAGACCTTTTCAGTGCAACGTTTGTTTCCGCGCTTTTTCATTAAGAACAAACTTAAGGCGTCATATGCTCACACATACAGAAGTACAGCTTTCACAGTATAACTGTCACCTTTGTTTAAAGTTGTTCAAACATCCAGAAAATCTTGCATATCATATGCTTGAGCAACATCGTTTAAGTCCCAATGAAGACGCAAATTTTATCAGAGAAGCCACTAGATATGCTAGTTTCAGAGATAGAAATTTTTTTGATCGTTTTAATGAAAAGCGTAAACTAGATGAAGATGTTAGTGTAAACAAAGAAAAACATCATCCGCGAAACTTCATTGAAAATCAAAGTGGATATCTTACCGAACAAAAAGAACCCCAACTCTCACCAGATAGTTTTAATCGTCGATTAATCCAAAACATGAAAGTAAGTCCGCATCCATTATACATTAATAAAACGAACATATACTCTGATGAATCATCAAAACGTTTAGAGAAGTTTAGAAGATCTCCGTTAGAATTTCATGATACAATGCAATATTCTAACAAATATCCTTCTAGCAGTTCAACTGAATCGTCTCGTAATCTTACAAGACCACATTCTCCAATGAATAATTCTCCGACACACGCAGTACATCATCATGCATTAGCTAACAAAGTTACCACAAGTTCTGTTTTGTATCACAATGGAAATATTGTCAGTGCCGATAAAATGGTCGGAGTAGGAGTTTCAGTTCGCGCTGGAACCGAGTGTAACGAATGCGGCGAGAAATTTACCTCTGCTTCCCTATACGATATTCACATGCAGTCTCACAAAAAACAAGCTTATACTTGTGAAAAATGCCCAAAGACATTTACACGTAGAAATCATTATGAAGCCCATATGGAAGGTCACGAGAGCGGAAAATCTAAATCACATAGTTGTCCATATTGTCATCGACTATTTTCTATGAAAGGTAATCTCAGACGTCATATCCGAATTCATACAAATGAAGCGCCATACGAATGTCCAATATGTTTTCAACGCTTCCGACGGTCTGATGGCTTAAAAGGTCATATTAAAAGACATGAAACATTAGGAGAAAGTTGTCCTGTTGATATGGTTCCTACTCAAGCACCCGCATCAGGGTAAAATTTTTATTAAGGAATTTATATAACTTTTATAAAAATGTAGATAGGCATTATGTTAAAGAGTTTTGTATTTTATATTTTATTTATGTGTACATATATATATATATATATATATATATATATATATATATATATATATATATATATATATATATATATATATATATATATATATATATATATATATATATATATATATACATATATATATATGATGTTTTTGTTTATTTTTATGCTGTATAATGAAACAAAACTTCATTTTTTACGTGTAAATTCATGTAACTAAAACTAAAATGCAATTGACATTCTTTGATCGCAATACTTATATATATATATATATATATATATATATATATATATATATATATATATATATATATATATATATATATATATATATATATATATATATATATATATATATTATAATGATTCGCCTTTTGGCAACCTATATTTGCGTCATCAGTAATATCAGATTTTACTGAAGATCAGTCCTATTTTAGCTGTTTAGATTTAACAATTAAGTTTTCTTTTTTTTTTCTGGTAAAATGTTCTACATAACTTCGAGCAAAGATGTGTGAATAAAGGAATGAGAAGGAATTAGACGCGTTATTTTTTAGGCTTTAAGGCGCTGCAAACATAATATACCGGAATTTTTGCAAAGAACCGAGAGAGAGAGAGCGTTCAGTATGACAGTCTTTATCAATCTTTGCAGCGGACGAATGTGTACTTTTATTACTCTTAAATCATTTTATTTTGATGCCGCCTTTATAATCGCTGTGCCATATTTGCTTAATTTAATTTCTAGATATTTTAAATTATGTTTAATTTCAAGAATAAAAATAACGTATATAATAAAATATTCAATTAATCCAAAATATCACTATATATAAAAAATTAAAAATAAAAGATGTTTGAAAATATCGATATCTATATAAGATTAATTGTTAATTAAACTTCGGCCACATCCGTACTAAATTCATATAGGTGGCAAAATTGGAAACACATATAGGTGGCAAAATTGGAAACACCATTAAATAAGATCAAAACTTTAGCAAACAAGATTAAAACCTGTTTGTAACTAACAAACAAGATTAAATCCTGTTTGTAAATGATATTTGGGGTTTGTATGCGACTTGAGCATACAAATTCCAAACACCGTGGATCAGCGTTTGCCTAGTTCTCACGTCAACTCCAACTCATTGTGCTGGCACTACTTACTTTGAATTTTGATTTAAATCCAAAATATAAAATGATAAGAGTTAGCTTAATTGTGAACAAATAATGAAAGTACTTAGCGACAGTTATCGCATCTAATAAAAAAATAGTTTATAAAAATGTCATTTAAAACATTTAATATTATAATAAAGCAAATTATATTAAGCTACCCCATACATCATGTATAAAAAAACTGCAGTTATTATAAAGAGTTTCAAAGATTGAGTACATTTTATTTAGAATTGTTCTCACAAGTAATAAAAACAAAATTTTTAGTGGAATCTCCACCGATACTTGATATGTGTTGTGGTACCATTTGTGGGATACCTAGAAAATCATCATTTTCTTTTCACAAAATATTACATTGCATAATCCTCAAGCAGTTTTATCTTTGTTGCAATTTCTTTGTTAATTTTCCCTCTTTTTTTTTGATAACTTACTTCTTTGATTTTGGATTTTCTCTAATTTTCACAATTGTTATTTGCTTTTCTTATTACTGGTTCAATGCTGCTTGATGAAGAGTTTGCTCCATGTGAAACATCAATATTATTCAATTTTGTCAACAATATTATGGGATCAATCAATGATTGTAATGCAGATGCTAGTGAAATTGACCTCTAATTTTCTTTTCCCGGCTATTCTGCTTTTTGTTCTTTTTTGTTAAATCGGTGGTATTCTTTCGCGTTTTCTTTCTTGACTGTAGAATTTTGTCCTGATCATATTTCAGTTTTGCTGAGTATGCTTTATGAGAAGTCCCTAAACAAAGAGTTTAAATTGATCTTCTCTACTCTCTAACTTTTTATGTGAGCTCGTCTCAAGGTATGATAAGGTATTATCACCTCCATCGTGTGGCGTAGCAATAAAAAATGGTCCCTTCCCATTACTTTAATCCAAGCCCCTAAATTTTTCTCCCCCCCCCCCCATCCTTCTCCTTGATAAAAAAAGTTATACTTGGAAACAAAAACCTAATTTTTTTTATAACTTTATAAAAATATTCTGCACGCATGTTTTTGTTTATTGTATAATTTTTTTAATTTTGTACGATTTGTATTTGCCCATGCAATATTACAATAAATCAAATAACAATGAATGAAAGAAAAATATAAACTTTTTAAAGATTGGTTTTTTTTAGAAATGGTTTAGTCCTATATATCATGGCAATATTTTTTGATATTTTTTTCTTAATGCTTTTTATATGATCACTTCAACGTAAATGTTCATCTAATATTACGTCCAAAAAATTTACTGAAGTTTCTCTTTTAATGTTAGCGTTATTAATTATTAGATTTGGCAGTTTAATGGCGATAATTTCTAATTTATTCATTTTATGGAATAAAATAAATTTGGTTTTATCTACGTTTATTACTTATAAACCACTCATTAAGCTTACCCAATTGTTCGTTAGCTGTTTCAAAAGTATTTTAACATCTCTGTGGGAATAAAAAAGATTGAAATCATCTGCAAAAAAAATACAATTTAAGAAGTCTGTTGCTAAATTTAAATCATTTATATATACTAGGAATAATAAAGGTCCTAAAATAGAGCCCTGGGGAATACCACAAGTTACAGCATGTGGAATTGATTGTTTTAGCTCATATTGGATAAATTGCTTTCTATTGGTCAAATAGCTTTTAAACCAAAGTAAGTTTTTTTTTTACTCGATAATAGTCTAGTTTTTTTATTATTATATTATGGTTTACAGTATCAAAAGCCTTTGACAGATCAATTAAAACTCTAAATGTAAAGTACTTAGTAAATAATGTGTTTGTTATTTGATTGACTACTTCAATCAATGCATGATAAGTGGAACATTGTTTTTTGAAACCAAACTGTTTTGAATACAACATACCGTTTTCTGATATTTGATTAAATAGCCTGTTTTACATTATTCTTTCAAGCAATTTTGAGAAACATGGTAATAGGTCTATAATTAGAAATAATAGAGTCATCGCCAGTCTTAAAAACCGGTGTGATTCGTGCAATTTTTAATTTTTCCAAGACAATACCTGTTTTTAAAGAAATATTAAAGATGTGAAACAAAAGAGGTTTGTTTATATCATAAACAAACTTTTACTTTATCAAATCCAGCACTTTTGTTAGTTTTAAGATTATAAAATGAGGCTCGCATTTCAATTAATCTAAGATTAGGTTTATCCATAACTTTATCATAATTTTTCAAATAAGACTTAAATGAAGTTGAATTCAGAGGAATTTTTGATGCCAAATTTGAACCACCATTAATAAAAAAACTGTTTATTTTTTCAGCAATAGTTGATTTATCATAAATTTTTTTTTCGTCAATTGCTACTTTTTTTTTTTTTTTTTGAGAGAGTGTTTCTCACACCATGTTTATAAGAACGCTTAACGACTCTAATTTATGTTTAAAAAAATATATAGAAGAACGCGCAAAAGAAACAGTAGTTGCAATAGCATCGAAAACTACTTCTTTTATTAAAAAAGAGACAATTCTCTTGAAGCTAGGAACTGGTGATGAACGAAGGAGAAACGAAGCTAGGAACTTCATTGAAGGTAGGAACTGGTTCCTTTTAAAATAACGGAACGAGGAAAGAGGAAGAATTCTTTTTTTGGAAGAATGTGAAGGAAAAGTAATAATTCCTAAAAACTTTTTAAATTCGGATTTCGCTAAATTTGTTTTTACGGTTCAAAAGCAAAAAGAGTTGCACAGTGACTCGAAAAAACAAAAAATTGGCAATAAACCCCTCACAATATTTTTATAAATTAATTGCCCTTTTTTAAATAATATTAAATTACAATAAATTTTTATTTCAAAAGTTAAAATAATTTTTTCATAAAACTTTTATCTTGTATTTTATAGGTAGGGTAGACCGGGGGAATGACGACACCTAAATACAATTTGATTTTTATAATTTTTTCTAGGTTAGTTACGATTTTGGTGAAAGTACCTAAAGATTTGTCCTAATTTTCTGCATCAAATCAATATGTAATATTTTAAAATTATTTACATTAGAAATATTACATGAATGTTTTTTGCAATTTAAGCACAGTGATGGTATTTCCCCAGCCACTGGGATAATTGCGACACCACTTTGGGGTAATACCGACATTAGTAATTAATAAGACAATTATTTTACCAAACATGTTATATTGTTACATAGAGTAAATAAACATAGTATATAATTGATAATAACAAAGTAAGACAGGTTAAATCTTTGAGACGAAAAAAACTTTTTTCAAATCGAAGATTAATGAGTATGGCAAAAGTCACAAATATAGTTTTCAGGGGAATCATAACCGCTACAATCTGCATGCGCCCATTTTCCACAATAGACACAACGATACCAGATTTCAATTTTTTTTCCATATTCACCACAAACTAAACACATCTCAGTGTCCTTAAAAAATAAATCAATCCCGTTGTCAAGCTCGTCATCATCACATAGTTTAGTTTCATCAATATCTTCCTCAGAAGTTGATTCTTCAAAAGAAATTTGTCTACGACACCTCATCTTTGTTGTTTTTCTTTTATTTGCGGACTTTTTTTAGGATGGGTGTTCATTTTAGTTTTCACGATTTTTCCAACATTGCTAGACCTATTCTTCAAGAGTTTAAGGTTGACTGAAGGTATCACCTTGAGTTTTTCTAGTCTAAGATTGGCTTTTACAAATTTAATTTATTTTTTCTTTTTAGCTTCTTTCCAAAACTGCTTTCATAGGGGTTCCTTTCTAATTTATGGAATGTTGCTTTCTGTTATTGCGATCATCTTTATTATCTGTTGACAAAGATAGAAGGGGTGACAAATATTCCAGAGTTTCTTTGAAACATATTAGGCTTCGGGAGGGTTTTGGAACAGCTTTTAGAAC